CTCCGCGGTGTGACCCCTCGGCAGGTTCCGCCCTCCGGCTCGTAGGAGCCCGCTCTGCCCCCTCAGGCAGGAGGAGGCGCTGCAGCCGCCGCCTCGAACGCCGCGGGGCCCTGCCCCTACGTGCGCGCGCGCCGGGCACACGCCGTCCCCTACGCTTCCGGTTCGTTTCTGGCTCCTCCGGCGAAATAGCCAATCATCGCCAGGGTCGGGTGACGTCACTGCATACCGGCGGCGGCTTCCCGAGGAGCGGCGCTGGGCGTGGGTGATCGCCCCCTAGCGGCGGGACGGAGGGCGGCGGGAGTGGAGGCCTCGGGCCTCGGAGGAGCGGGGCTGGGTGGTTTTGAGAAATCCTATCTAGTGTTTCTATTTCTGTGGTAAGCTGGAAAGAAAACTAGAGGCCTGCCCCAGGTGTATGGGAGTGGGGACCAAGTGCGCCTTGTTAAGGGCGGAGGGGAAAAGCATACATAAAGTCAGTCTTAAATGACAAAAGAAGCATGAGGGTCGGGAGAAGGCCAGAGGCTGCCTCGGTGAGGGAAGGTTTTGCACGAGTTTGGAGGGAAGAACCGAAGAGATCACGGCCCTCCGGGCCAGCGGAGACAGACCAATCCGGAGAAACCTGTGCCTGGACCTTGTGCATCACATCCATCCTTCCAGAGGCAATCTGGTCTCAGCCCGACACACTCATTCTTCACATGGAATTAATGTTAGCATCTACAACGGTTTAACTTGTAAACTTGCTTTCTATAGAAGTATGCTATCTATAAATGCTAGGGATTTATGTCTCATTTCGTTTACATAAGATTATAATAGGTACTTTGACACGTGTCTGACCCTTTATCCAAGTTTGAGAATTATTATGGTTGATGATAGTAATTCCAAGCAGAGGAGCCGGGTTTCTGTTTCCGGAAGGCTACTGTGGTGGCTGCATGGAGGCAGGGAGTCTGATTAGGAGGGAGGCTCTGGCAAGGACTCAGGAGACTTGAGGGACTGGAACTAGGACAAGGGTGATAGGGAAGGGAGGAGGAAACATCCATGCCCTTTGGGAAAATTGGCTGATTGATTAGTATCCAAAGTCGGTCCTGGGGAGAGAAAGAGCATCAGCCAGGATAATTTTTAAATTTCTAGCTTAGATGATGGGGAGATAACAACTGGGATTAAAAAATCCAGGATGAGGAAAGGTTGAGTAAAGGATGGTAAATGATTTCCATAAACAAAGGGGTGATGGTAAACTATGAAGGTGGATGCCATCGTCCACGTAGGGTGTAAAGAAGGAGACATAGGCTGGCAGAATCTGGGGGGAAACCAGCATTAAAGGGCAGTGGATGGAGGAAGAGAAGTCCATGAAGGACACTGAGGAGAAACAAGCTAAAAGACAGGAAGAGAATTTAGAGAGTCCGGTGCCATGGACTCGAAGGATGGAGCGTTTAGGGAAAATGGAATAATGAACAGCACTAAATAGTGCAGAGGGGTCTGCTAAGAGAAATTTTAAATGTTTCTTGAATTAGCTTATTAGCAGATCCTTTTGTTGTTTTTCAAACTTTTTATGATGGAAAATGTCCAACATAAGCAGAGAGTAGAACAACGGGCCCTTATTTACCTGGGAGAGTAAGTTCATTTTGTTGGAGACCCGTGCCTCAGCCGTGCTGTAGCTCTCAGCGGTCTGTCGGAGTAAAAGTACCACTTCATGTACCTTTTATCCCAATGATTCTCCAATGATCAACTCATGGCCAATTTTGTTTCTTTTATACCCCTGCTGTCCTCCCCCCATCCCAGTTATTTGATGCATATTTCTGACATTATATCACTTTATCAATATGTTTATCAGTGTGTTCTCTAAAACATAAGGATTCTTCTTTAAAACAAAATTATGGTACCATTGTCACATCTGAAAAAAACGAACAATTCTTAATGTCATCAAGCATCTAGTTATTCACATTTCCCCCACTGTTTTATATTTAATATTTTTTTATTGATGTTAGAGAGAAGAAGGGAGAGGGGGCAAGAGAGAGATAGAAACATCAATGGTAAGTATCATTGATCGGCGGCCTCCTGCACATCCCCTACTGGGGATCGAGCCTGAAACCCCAGGCATGTGCCCCTGACTGGAATTGAACCTGGGACCCTTCAGTCCGCAGGCCGACACTCTCCACTGAGCCAAACCAGCTAGAGCTATATTTAGTTTTAAAAAATTGTTTATGTGAATCAAGATATGAGTAAGGACCCTACTTTGCAGCTAATATGTCTCTTGAATTTTTAAAAAACTTTGTCTATTCTCCATCTTTCCCCCCTTATTATTTAATTAATTTATTTTTTAAGAAACCAGGTCATTTATCCGGTAAAGTTTCTCAAAGTCTGAATTTTGCTGAGCTTCTACTGGCGTAATTTAGTATGTTCCTCAGCTCTGTATTTGTGGTAAATTGATAGTTAGAGGCTTAATCAGATTTAGATTTGATTGTTTTGGTAAAACTAATTCATAGGTGGTTTTAGTGCATTTACCAGGAGGCATACAATGGTGGTCTTTTTGTGATATTAGTAATTAATGGTGATCATTGTCTAGACTAGCATTGCTCAAACTTGGCACTGTTGACATTATGGGACGGATAGTTCTTTATCGTAGGAAGTTGTTCTCTGCATTGTAGGATGTTTAGTAGCATCTCTGGCCTCTCTACCCACTGAATGCTGGTAGCAACTCCCCCAATTGTGATAACAAAAAATGCTTCTAGACAATTGTTAAATTTCCCTTTGTGGGCTAACTGTCCTTGATTGAGAACCACTGGTCTAGGTTCATTAATAGAGGATTTAGAACATAATATTTTCATTCGAGCCTTCCTTCTTTGTTAGGCAGAATAAATACCTCTGCAAAGAGAAACTTTTACACATTAACTGTTTGTTCTCTAGAGCTACATTTCATATAGGAAAGCAAGAAAAATGTTGATTTGTTTCCCTTTTATTTTATCAGCTTTTTTTTTTAAATATATTTTATTGATTTTTTACAGAGAGGAAGGAAGGGAGAGATAGTTAGAAACATTGATCAGCCACCTCCTGCACATCTCCTACTGGGGATGTACCCACAACCGAGGTACATGCCCTTGACCGGAATTGAACCTGGGACCTTTCAGTCTGCAGGCCAGCACTCTATCCACTGAGCCAAACCAGTTTTGGCTATTTTATCAGCTTTTAAAGTAATGAGTTGGTTACCTAGCATTTTCAAAAGGAACCAGTGATTTTTTTTTAGTACTATTATGACTCATACTTTAACACATGTATGATGTGTCTCAATCATTGGCAGTTTTTAAATATTTTGATGCTTAAGTTGACCTATTTGGCCAGTGGGAACTTATTCAAGCTGGCGCCTGAGAGTCCTTTTGTTATGACCTTTAAGGTTTCTTGCTCCTTGATATAAAATTTTCCAGGCTCATTTTGTGTGTTCCTAGACTAGAGCTGGTATCAGCGATTTTTTCCAATGATTCATGGTTCCTCTTAATTGGAAATGGTATTTAAAGAACACATTTTGGGCACTAGGGATGTAGGTTATTTGACCTTAGGAAAAGCAGTTAAATGAATACATAGTCAACTACCTGTTCTCAAAACAGCCCCCTGCACCACCTCTTTTTATAAAAAATTCCAAACATGCAAAGAAGTTGAAGGAATGCACAATGAACAGCTGTACCGTACACTCTCACCTAGACTCAACAATTGTTTATATTTTATTGTGTTTGTTCTCTCTCTTCTTTCTCATGTGGTATGGTATGGCATGATAGGGCATCATATCATATAATTTTTAAAAATCCTCACCCAAGAACATGTTTCTATTGATTTTTAGAGAGAGAGAGAGAGAGAGAGAGAAACATTGACCAGTTGCCTACTGTACATGCCTCCATCAGGATCGACATTCCAGCAACTGAGCCACACTGGCCAGGGCTCATATATAATTTTTATTGTACCATTTGAAAATAAGTTCCAGGCATTGGTGACACTTCATTAGCATTATCTGCTAAGATCATTTTCTATGTAACCATAATACCATTATCATATCTTGAATTACTTTCTTCAGTTAGTTTTCTTGTCTTCTTAGGTCTCTTTTGCTGTTTCTTCTTCATCTTCCTGATCTCTAAACAGTGGTGTACCCACAGCTCCGTCATTGGACCTCTCCTCTCCTCCCTGCACACGCACATGGCAGGCCACTGCCTAACTCCAAGGCTCTGAATACTATCTATATTCTCGTGACCGCCACTTTCTCTCTCGGCCCAATCTGTCCTCTGAACTTGAGACTCCTATATTCAGTTACTTCATGGTCTTTATTGTTACAAAACATTTGCATACATTAACTTGAGCCTCACAGCAGTGGCAGGGTGACTATAGTATCTGCATTTCGTAAGTGATAGAGGGGTTCAGAGATAGTAAATGACCTGCCCAAAGTCACGTGAAGCTTAGCTTTTCTGACTCCTACCTGGTACACACTGTGCCGCGGTGAGGCGTGACAGCAGGGCGTGGCGGGCCCATTTGTTGAACGGGTGATGATCCAGATTATGGTAGGCATTCAGTAAATGTCACGTTATACTAGTGGAAATTAACGACGTCACCCTGCCTAGAGGTCTCTAGTTTCCTTTTCCCCCCCATCACCTCCCCTCGGGGCTCCCCTCAGAGACCCTCTTTCCAATGAACTCCATCACCTTTAGTCAAGACTCACAAAGAGCGGAATCCACGTCTCCTCAGGCAGGTGCTCAGTTGAGGGCTTAAGAAGGAAGGGTCCTCTTTTGAGATAAAGCTGAAGAGACCTAACAGTTTCGCCCTCCCACCTCAGGCCTTCCTCGGGTCCTGGAGTGGCGAGGCTGTGCTGCCCCTCTCCCTGCCCCCATGTGGCAGGACTGCGCTTGTTCTGGAGTGGAGGCCTGTGAGCCTCTGCTCTCAGGTCCTGCTGGCTTTGGCCCAGGCCATCATGACACCAGCGCCCCCTCCCCTCTCCCCTCCCTTCGCCCCGCCCCTGCCTCTGGCCCCGCCCCACAGCCCTGGACGCAGGGTAAACAGCCCAGAGCCTCTGCTCAAAGGGAAACAAAAGAGACAGCCTGTGTTCCCATGGCTATGGCCAGCACCTTCATACCCGGGCTGAACCCTCAGAATCCTCATTATATCCCAGGGTAAGACTTCTACCCAGAGCACAGTCCTGCGTGCTTCCGGGAATGGGGTTTAGGGATATAGGATTTGTGCACCTAGACCTTGGGGGCCAAGTGGACACACCTGTACAGCAGGCCCAGGGCTGGGATATCGATGGTGTTGGATAGAAAATGAAAAGCAAGGAATAGTAGCTGGGCTGGCCACAAAGCTCTGTGTTGTCTTTTCCATGGTAACAGGGTAGCAGCAGAGGGAAATGCCTGCTCCAAATATACAACCAGCCGAGTCCAGAAAAGATCAGGGCTTCAGAGCTCTCTGCTTCTGTCTCTGGGGAGGGTGAGCAGGGGGAATCTAGAGATGAGTGGGTGAGTCCTGTGCTACAGGTACACCGGACACTGCCCACTGCTTCGGTTCAGCATGGGCCAGACCTATGGGCAGATGACCGGTCAGCTACTCCGGGGAGCTCCTGGCATAGCCTGGCCCCCTGCCCATCGCATACTTCTGCCTCCCATTCGGCCTCCAAGATCTCCTGAGGTTCCTCGTGGAAGCCTGCCTGTCAGGCGTGGGCACAAGAGGCTCAGTTCCAGCATGATCCCTGGGTACACAGGTATGTACACAAATATAAACAGGTGCCCCATCCCTGAACGTGTGTCCCAAACACTAACAGAGATCTTCTGTGCCCCCTGCCCACCCAGGTTTTATCCCCCAGGCACAGTTCATCTTTGCCAAGAACTGCAGCCAGGTCTGGGCTGAGGCTCTGAATGATTTTACTCAGTGGCACGGAGAACAAGGGAGTCAGGAGCTGTCAAAGCAGGTCAAGGGAGAAGATGTGGAGGAAGACCAAGAATCAGAGCCAAAGCTGAAGCCAGAGCTGGAGGCGCAAGGGGCAGAGCTGGGGCAGGAGGCAGGACAAGTGAGGCTGTGAAGTGGGGGGGACAAAGGGGGTGATGTGTGGTGGGAGTGGGGAGCCGTACCTCTGTGTAGGCTGGGGACATGGGCTTGCCTGCCAGCTCCACTCCCTGGGAGCTTGTGTCAGAGCACGGGGGCTAAGTTTGATAGCACCATTTTTCTTCTGTCAACTCCCCTCACAAGGCTTCCCCCTATTCCATGGATGACGGAGATCCTCACAAGTTCTTCATGTCAGGTGAGGGAGGTGGGCAATGACTAAAGGTGTGGGAGGCCCCCAGGAGGTCCTGACCCAGAATTCCCACTCCCCAGGTTTCACTGGCTATGTGCCCCGTGCCCGCTTCCTCTTCGGCTCCAGCTTTCCTGTGCTCACCAACCAGGCACTGCAGGAATTTGGACAGATGTGCTCACAGGGCAAACCCCAGAAGGATCTCAAACATCTCCCCCCAATTTCAAGGACCTACCCTCAGAACCTGGGTCTTTTGCCTAACTATGGGGGCTATGTGCCAGGTGAGGGTGTGTGTGTGTGTGTGTGTGTGTGTGTGTGTATGTGTGTGTGTGTGTGTGTGTGTGTGAGAGAGAGAGAGAGAGAGAGAGAGAGAGAGAGAGAGAGAGAGAGAGAGAGAGAGGTGGAGGTGGTTTTGGTAGTTGGAAATAATAGATATGAGGGGACCTCAGGGCATGTAGTCCAGCTTTATCATTGGGCAGGAAAGAAAACTGAGGAACTGAGGGAGCTCACAGTGGGGAATTAGGACCAGATTTTGGAGGACAGCTTGGAGGGTCTAGGCAACTGGCCGAGAAATAAATGGCTTTTCCATGCCACTGACTACATGTGACAGACTCTCTTGACCACACAGGATATAAGTTCCAGTTTGGCCGCACATACGGGCATCTCACCCAGGATGCTCTGGGCCTCAGCGCCATCCAGAAGCAGCTCGTGGCGTAGGTACCTGGACTTCAAACTCCTCCTTCCCTTTTCATGTATCCCAGCCATGCTTTTGGAAGAGAGAGAGATGGGCTGGAGGGTAGGGGGAGGCACAGAGAGAATGGTTTGGAGGCCAAGCACCTTTTTTATTAATAGGTGTAATAAATAAATAAATAAATACATAAACAGAAGCCTGGGCTGCTCCTCCCTCTTCTGACCACCAGGCATTGGCCACAGCCTATTTACATCTGGGAGCTTAGGGATCTGGCCCCTTCACTGTCACCCATCATCCTCACTACCTGGCCTGGGAGCCCTGCAGACGGGCCTTCTGGTCACCCCCATCCACAGGGACATGCTTGTCTGTACCCATGGAAAGGCTGGCCCAGACGGGCTGGGGAAACCCTGGCAGCCCAGTGCTGCGTCCCTTCCCTCCTTTCCTGGGTGGTCTGGACATGGTCATGGGACAGTTGGGGGAGGGGTAATTAATACTGAGCACAGGAATACGTGGCCCCAGCTCCCAGTCTGCTCTCTACAGCCAAGCCAGAGGGCTTGGGCGGGGGGGGGGGGGGGGGGGGGGGGGACTCTCGGGCTCTGAGTCTGATGGTTATGAGGGTCCCTGAGGCCACCAGCATGCAGAGGACCTCAGTTTTGGCTGTTTCCAGGAGTTGGACTTGGAGTTGGGGTCAAGGTCACGTAGGCCAGAGGCACCAGGCCAGTGTCGGGGCCACGGCTGCAGCGCAGCCAGTCTCCTCCGGCTGGCCCCAGCACTCGGAGGACATCTCCCTTGTGGAAGCTCAGCTGTCCAGGGCCTGTGGCCAGATGGTGGCACAGTGCTTTTACCTCGCTGGAGAAACAACAGGTGGAGGTCAGAGAAACCCCACCCAAGACCAAACCCAGTCCCTAGTCCTTCAGGCCCCCCAGGGCTCACCATGGAGGCTTGGAGGGCAGGGCTGGAGCGTGTGGCTCCTGCAGGCTCTCCTTGGGCTCTGGCTCCCGGCGGGCACCCACTGTCTGCGCCACGAGTTGGAACATGGACTTGTCCAGACTCAGCCAGTCCGAGGGCAGCCTAGGGGTTAGCAGTCAGGGCTGACTGAGCTCTGGCTTAGACCAGGCTCCCCACTCCCTCTGTCTACAGCACAGGCTGCCTCTCACCTGTTTGTGGGCCGGATCTCTCGCTGAGCCTTTCGGGATCCAAAGAGGTGTCCCCACTTGATGCCCCCAGGTGACGGTCCGGAGGCTCCTTCCTCACTTTCTGCTGCGGGGGCAGTAGACCCCTCTCTCTCCCGACTGTGTCTCAGCTCAGCCAGCACAGAATCAGGGGGGCTCCCCATCCAGAAGGGCCAGCCCCTGTCCCGGCCAAGGGTCTCCTCAGGGGCAGGGCAGGCCTCAGCTCCCTCTACTACTCCCTCTCGCGGGGGTGGCCCCCCACCTCCTGCCCCTTTCTTTTTCTCACTGCTGCTGCCACTGCAGCTATTGCTGCCACCACGGGGGAACCTAGAACCTTCAGTGGAGCCGTCAATGTAGACCTGGGAGCTCTGCATGAGCTGGTACCACCAACCAGACTGCCCACTTCGGGCCCTGCCACGCTCCGAGCCCCCAGTTGCCTCTGTCACCTCTTCCGTCTCCTCCTCTTCCTCATCTTCTCCCCCTTCTGGGGCACCCACACCTTTCACCCGTTTCCCACGGGCTGCGCTGTCCATGTCTCCGGGGCCCTCCTGGCTCCGGGCCCGGGCCAACTGCAGGGTTGAGTGGGCGGACAGCAGCAGGTCCTGGGACACGCGCAGCAGTTCCTTGTGCTGCCGCTGCTGCTGCCCACTTTGCAGCAGCCGGTGCTGGAACAGCAAGTCCAGGCTGAAGGGCAGCAGGGCCAGGGGCTGTAGCAGCAGCAGCAGCTCCTCAAAGAGGCCAGGGCACACGGTGTGCGCTGCACTCAGGAAGCCCCATGGCTGGTAGTGGGTCTGGATGATATCTAGGGAGGAAGAGAGAGGGACTGAGCCGCACAGGAAGGCAGAGCCTGGCCTGGGGTGGCCTTTGAAAGGCAACCTGGGCAGGGCCACTGCATCGTGCTGCACAGGCTGTAATGTGCTACTTAGAGGCACTACAGTGGAGGCGATTCCTGAAGTGTTGGTGCATTAGCTGCACCTTAAGTGGCAGCCGCGAGCTCAGACGGCCTGAGTGTCCCGCTGACTGCCAGGCTCTGCCACAGCAGAAGCTGGGGAAGGACTCTGGTAGAAGCCCAAGCTTGGCATGGTTCCCCTCTCCACCTCTAGCATCTGAAAAGACAGCTGTGCCTCGCTCTGGAGCCTGTGAGGCCTGGCCTATGATGAGTTTGCAAGACAGGGCAGGGTTCTGGGCATTACCTTCGTGGTTATAGAGGTGATTAAACCAGAATTCCAGGGACCGGATGCTGTAGGGAGATAGGTGAAGAGAGTTGAGTCTTATGTGGGCATTGCCAGATCATAAGGTGCAAAGAAGACAGACACAGGGGTCAGACACAGGGTAGACTATAGGTGAACGTCTCTCTTCTATGGCAGAGATGCTACTTGGTTCACTTTATTGTCATGTAGTTCTGAAAAGTCAGTGAAGATGTGGGGCGGGGGGCGGGGGGAGGGCGGGGTGAACATGTGTTTCACAAACCAGTCACTTCCTCCTAGAATGGAGTCACTTTGCACAAGACCCAGGAAGTCAGGGCAGCTCCTGAGTGGAGTACAGAGCCGAAGGGGGTGACCTGGGCCCATGCTTGAGAAAGAAAAATACTATGACATGGATCCCAAGGTGGACTTAGGGTCAAGCAGGATTTGGGAGCAGTGCTGGCATTGAGAGGATCAGGGTTTACAATATCCAGAGAAACAGAACCAGATTAATTTCCAAAGAAGCCAGACTGTGGATTTGTAAAAGCGGAAGACCATGTTGGTGTCAGTGCCGGAGGATCGTGGGTGTGGTGGGAGACCACTGATCTACCGAGAGGCTGAGCTAGGTGGAGAGCAGTGAGCCCGCGCTCTGGCAGCAGGTCCCACAGATCCCCCTTTCTGTCTCAGGTAGGGAGCTGCTTCCTCAGAGGCAGCCGCGACCCGGGGAGGGCTGGTGGCTGCAGATCTCGCTGCGCCACCGCACTCACTTGAGCAGGCCGAGGACGAAGGCATCGAAGCGCATGGTGTGACTGGTGAGCTCGGGGAACTGGCTGACCTTGTTGTACAGGCCGTGCAGGACCTTGGTGGATGGGCCTGGGAGGAAGCCAGAGTTGCAGGTCACATGCCCAATCTCTGGAACCCTAAATTCACCCTGGGGTCCCCATCTTGCACACAGCACTTACCTAGTTGTGTAGAAGCCTCAACCACACTCCACGGCATGTTCTTACGTTGCCCGATGATGACATCCAGCACAAAGGCCTTGAGCCCATCCTCCAGCACAGCCCGGACCGCAGGGCACAAGTACTTGAGGACCAGGTGGCCTACATTGGGGCTAACAGAACTGTTCCCCAGCTTTGCCTGTGGAGGCAGTAGGGAAGTACAGGGGATCACTGCAAGTTCAACCATGGTCCTTTCTGACCTTCTTAGCCCTTATGGTGCTTCTTTGTGATCCCCATTCCTAAGTATCAACTCTGGGTTCGAGGTGGCAGCACAGGGAAGGTGAGGGTCAGCAGGTAGAGCTCAGCTCTCCACAGTTTCTTGCCTACCTTCACCCCAGGATCCCGGCTTGTGCCAAAATGGGCCACGATGAGGTCCACTGCAGTGTTAACAGCTTTCACCAGCCCTGCAAGCGAGGATTTGATGTAACAGCTCCCCGAAAAGTCCCTGAGCAACTCAGCTGGGACTGAGCCCTCTGTGGGACGATGGGCTTCCATACACTCTCTCTCTGTCCCTGCAGCATGGGTCTCATCAAGGCACCAGGCCCAGGCCACTTCCTATTTTCCCCAGTTCTCCAGCCCCTCCTGTTTTCACGCCCCGGCTGGGACCCACTTTAATGATTACATTACTGAGACCCTCAAAGCCCTAACTTCCTTGCCATCTTACTCCAATCCTGGGTCAATCTATCTGTCTTCTCCACTCTGAGGCACCAGGCTACTGTCTGCTGGGTAAAGTCCAGGGCCACTCACACCGGTGAGTGACAAGGGCACTTCTCTGAAGTGTGCCTTGTGGCACCCTCAGCTATGCTCTCAAGTTGCCATGCCAAATCTTTACCCCTCTTCTCAAGCCCTTGGTTCTACTTCACACAGAGAGCAGAGGCCACTGGTCACGAGTTCCTTCAACTTTCCTCTCCATCCAAAAGACGTAACTATATTATTTCTCTCCTCCCCGCTGCTGCCCCTCTCACTCTCTCCATCTTTTGGAGGAAGGTGGCTGCTCCCCTTCTTGCCCAAGGTTCTTCCCTCTCCCTAAGCTCTGAATCTCCCACTCTGCCTCTGAAAGGGACTTTAGTTTCATCTTTCTCCCCTTTAAGTAATAAGCTCCTTCCCCTTCAGCCCCTCAATTTTTTCTCTCCATCATTGCACTGAAACTGCTCTCTCTTATGGTCTCGTATTTGCTAAATAGCTTGATTCCTTGTCAGTCCGTGTCTTACTAGATGTTACCATCATGTTTACCCCGACCTCTAGGCCCTGTGGTAACTGAATTCCCCCCCTTAGCGCACGTGGACATTTATTTATGACATGCGTCTCCCTCACTAAGCTCCCGGAGAGAAGAGACTGGAGCCCGACTCCAAAGCACCTGATCAATGACCCTTCCTCACGTGTACACACTCATGGCACATGGTACATGACTTCTCGCCCCAATGCCTGTGCTCTCTAATTTCTTCCTGGCACCTGGAATTCTAAGGTTGGGAAATATTCTGGAGGGCCAGGCAGCAGGGCGATAGGCACAGACAGGTAGTGACAACAGAACTCCTGGCCTGAGCTGGGGGAATATCCACCTTTTTTCTGAAGCAGGTCAATGGAAATGGCTTCTGAGTTGCCGTCTGGGGACAGACAAAACTCAGCAGGAGGCTTCTCAGTCAAGGAAAAGGGATCCTGGAAGTCAGGGCAGGTCAGTGATAGCGGCTTCACCATTGGACCTGGAAAAAAGAGAAAAATCAGTCCCACGAACTCTTTCCAAGCGTTGCAGCTCAGTTCTGTGCCTTATACCCTCTGAGACTGACCCCTTCTCCAGCCCTTCCCAGCTACGGCAGAGCCTGCCCTGGTATCCT